TTGATTCCACTGGTGATGAGCTTTGATATCTTGCAACTGGTGGTTGAGGCACTAAAACATAATTAAAATATGTTAATTATTTTAAAATTATTTTATCATAAATAATCTTACAGTTATCCGTATATATTTCCATATAATCCTGGTCCTTATTAGCATTAGGTACTTCATATTTAGCATAGTCATTTGAAGTATTTTGCAATTGTTTGGATTGAATGCAATACAATATTATAAATACCACTAATGCTATCATTAATATGACCACAACAGCCGTAAATGATATTATTAATGTAAGATTTTGACTTATTGTTCTATGATCATAATTAGTTGTAGTCGTGCTTATTTGTCCAGGTTTTTCAGTGAACTCCCACTTATATTCCTGATAATCCCCGTCCGTTTTGGGAGTAACACAACTAATAAAACCGTATTCATTGATCTCTCCGTTAGGATTATCGCCACGGTCTAGTAATTAACATATTTTATAAAATTACATTATATATTTAAACATAAATATTTAATTATTAAGCGCAATATAAAATTATTATTATAAAGTTTACATACTATATATCTAATTAAAATATTTATAACAATTTTAGTTAGTGAGCATGTTTATTAACTTACAGCATAGTTCGTTATAAATAAAGTAGTAGCCCTCATTAGGAACCTGCGCAATTTTTACGTTATGACTACCGAAATAGTGATTCATACGATACCAGCCATTATTTAGGTTATTAAACATGTGATATGTTTTGGCCTTTTCAGACACCAAATCCCCGGGTAGTGTAGAGTTGGGTCCAAACCATAGCAAAATTCGGTGAGACTTTGTGTTTTGGATAATATAGTAGATGTTTGTCTTAAGTGCCAACTTTGCACCGGTATTTTTGTCTATAATGGACTCATAGTTTGTTAAACTAATACCTATTAAATTTGTAATAATTATAAAAATAACCAAGGATAATATTTGAATATTAAGAATTGATCGAACAAAAATGTTTGATTGCATTTTATTCATTATAATTACATAAACACATTACAGTTATTGTAAAAATTAGAGCACTAACTATTCAAATAAAAATATACATATTATCTGGTTATTGAAAATTAGTTGAAAATAAAGTTTTCCATATAAAGTACATAAAACGGAAATATAGTTTCCCATTTACTCCTTCATATCCTTATGAGTAAAACTTGTGAGAAAAATGTGTTGTACCTTATAGTGTTTTATACTTTAGTAGACTGACATTCATTATACAGTAAATTATAGAAAAGCAGGATGGCCAGAAATGGTCATACAGTATTACAACATTTGTAATGACATTCTCAAAACCCATAAACAAATTCAATTTTATTTTATATGAGTTGGAAGTAAGAAAACTTTTATAGAAAAGTTGAAATTAATTAGAAAATGTGAAAAATAAGTAATAAAAGTAATGATTTCTTGTGAATTATTTTTTAAGTCAGATGAACCAGGTACTGCCAATCAATAACATTTGCTCTTGTCTGCAGTANGAACCAGGTACTGCCAATCAATAACATTTGCTCTTGTCTGCAGTAAATGGATTAGGTTTAAGACATAAAGTCAAATATTTGTTAACTTTTTCTTTATAATGAATATTAGCCTATTGTTTATATCAATGTTAATCATTTAACAATACCAGTTTTTAAATCTTTATTTATTACATAGAAATACATGACACAATAATAATTTAATCTCATTATAGTTTAATAATAATAATTTTTAAGAGCTTGTTTTATACAAAATCTATGAATGTCCATTATTTCATGACTAATTTATAATTTAAAACCTTCGTTATTTGTATAGACCCAGGATGGTTTACTCCGTGAAATTCTAGTAGATGCTGAAAATTAGCAAATTTTAATCAAATCCTAATCAAGTATTTGAATTAAAATAAAACAAAAATACAACAACGATATTGTGGCTGAGTTTGCATCTTACGACTACTCATATAAAATGACACTATTTTTAAAAGTTAATTTTTACCCTTTAATATAAACTAAATGGGATTAATTATGAAATAATGATAATTTTATATGAATAGTCGAGTGGCTGAGTTTGCATCTTACGACTACTCATATAAAATGACACTATTTTTAAAAGTTAATTTTTACCTTTTAATATAAACTAAATGGGATTAATTATGAAATAATGATAATTTTATATGAATAGTCGTAAGATGCGAACTCAGTTACGATATTGCTATGGGACTACATTTGTTTTATTTTAATTTATTTTTATAAATTATTTTACCAGTATCAGTACTTCCGATATGCAGATAATCTGGACTACTATAAAATGCTGAAGATGCGAACTCAGTTACGATATTGCTGTGGTACTACATTTGTTTTATTTTAATTTATTTTTATAAATTATTTTACCAGTATCAGTACTTCCGATATGCAGATAATCTGGACTACTATAAAATGCTGAACCGTAATTGCTATGATTATCAATGTTACTAGTACACATATGTTTGCGTTTAATACAAAACAATACTACAAACACCACTAGTATAATCAACAATATAACCACTACTCCGGACATTGAGTGTATTAAAATTGGGGAATCATTAATGTTCCCCTTATTATCAGCATAATTGCTTGTTGCAACATCTACGATAGTTGACGATATTATAGTTGTTGTATCAATTATAGGGTCTGTGGGGGAAGGGGTAGTTGTATGAGTTATAGGGGTTGTGGGGGAAGGGGTAGTTGTATGAGTTATAGGGGTTGTGGGCGAAGGGGTAGTTGTATCAGTTATAGGGGCTGTGGGGGAAGGGGTTAGCATAGTTGTGGTGTCGGACTGTCCGGCCTTTTCAATGAATATCCATAGTTTATACGAATATATATCGTATATACCCTGCCCCACTAACTCTGGCATTTGCAGTCTATTTGTCCAGAACCAAATATATCTTCCATATATGGATTATCGCCATATGCTATAGTAGTATAAATGTTTTAATTATTATAACCTAAATAAACTTGAAAAGTATTTAAAAATCAATATACTTAAAAATGATAATAAGTTCATTAAAAAATTATTTATAAATTTTGTATATATCATACTAAATTATGTGTACTAGGTTACAACTGTAAATTAAAAGTACAAGTATAAAATGTAGTCAAATACTTACTACATTTATCATTGTATATTAAATATGAGCCCTCATAAGGAGCCAGGGCAATTTTGACATTATGATGACCAGTGAAATGGCGCATCCGATACCACCCATTATCCAGGTTATGAAATATATGATATTTATGCTCATCATTAGCCACGCGATCCCAGGCCACTGTATCAGTGTTTCCAAACCAATACAAAAATTTATGGGATTTCTCGTTATGAACGCTATAATAGGTATCAGTCTTAAGGGGAAGCTTTTCACCGGTATTCCAATCAATAATAGACTCAGACTTTGTTAAAACCGTTGATGAATTAATAACCAGTATAAAACTAATAAAGGACACCAGTCTGATCATCATAACAGGTATCAATATAAAATATTATATAATGTGGTATTGTATATAAATGTATAATAAAATAATTCTGCTCATAAAATAAATACTTGTATAAAGATACTAAGTAAAAAACATTGTATAAAATAATAATCAAATTTGTGTATTAATATATTGGAAGCTAATGATATATTCACATATAATTTTTCCAAAAGGATACTTCCCATTAATTCCATTTTTAGCGTTTAATTATTTTAGTAACAAACAAAATAATTCACGTATTTCTGATTCATAATTGCTAATATGATGTTTTGCTAAAATAAATATTTTATTAAAACAAAGGTTTCGTAGAATTATAGTTTATTTTTACATAAAAATTAAATACAAATATTGCTTTAAAATA